CAAATTGTTTTCGATAAAATCCTACCATTAAATAAGCAATTATTCTTCACATATAAGGGCAGTTTGACAACTCCCCCCTGCAGTGAATCCGTTCAGTTTATTATATACGCCGATCCCATACGAATGAGTCCCTTTCAGGTAATTCCTACATTACTTAACTTTTATACTATCGGCAATATAAATCTAATGTTTGTTTATTTATTGTCAAAAGTTAAGTCAATTCCGCAGATTATTCAAGAAATCAAACTTCAGACGAATAGTCTCTAACACAAGGGATATACAGAGGAGACACGGAAGGGTTGTCAGTGTGTCTGTCCCTAAAGGCAACAAAGACTCTAATTTTGATGACAACGAGTATAATGATATAGACTTTTAATTATTGAATCTTATCTGATAAATAGCTTAATGATTTAATGATGCCTTTGTTTTTCTATTTTTTGTTTGGATTAATAAAAAGTAATAAATTATCAAGAATTTTATAAAGAAATATCTCATTTTGTAATTATTCTATATTCAATACATAATTCAGAGTAATACAAAACCAATATTGTAGATTATTTATAAACCAGAGTAATGAATTCATTATAACGAAAGCTATAAAATATATAAAATATTTGAATTTAATAAAATGCTTAGATGTTATTTATATGATTTTTAATTAAAAATTAAAAATTAAGGAATAGTCAGATCATGATTAGGAGTCTTAACATGAATGGGTCCTTTCATTTCCATATTGCCCTCGTCTATCATCTTCACCATAGCGTCCACCCTATCGACTGAATTTTTCCACTCCTCTTCAGTGTCCTGATTATAGGGGTGTTGCAGATCATAACGCCTTGTCTTCAGGAAAGTCTTCAGCCATTTCTTCTCGTCATCCTTAACGGGTCCGCCCTCTGAGGTCTCCGTTCTCTTAATAATAGCGCCCAAAGAGTCGCCATCGTCTCCGTCTCCGTGTTGTATAACACAGTCATAGAGAGCGCACATTCCGGTCGCACTCTTCACACCGGCCTTCTTGGCCCTAACCATAGCCGGCCTGTCATCACATGTGTTCACATATATTATGATTGTAATGAAATGAGTAATTGTTTAAAGAGACTAATAATACCTGTAATACAAATCATCATTTACTTCGTCCTGAACTTCCCTAAACTTAGGATCCTTTGCCGCCTCTTTCCAAGCGGATGGATAACCACCTAAACGACTCACATCTCCACTTCCCTTTTTGGCCAGTCTTTCCAGTTCTGGAATAAATTTAGCCAAAGGGTTGTCCGCTTTAATTTCCGTATATTTTTTGACCACAAGTATGGCATCTCCCGTTCCAGTTGTGAAGCCAGCCCTACCCGATGTATAGCCCCTTCCGTCATGAATATCCTCCACATAAGCGTATTGTAGATCTATTGAGTCGTTCTCGAAGATAGAAGTGTATGATTCGCACCTTTTCTTCGCCTCTTTGGACAGATTTGCCGATACTTTCCATACAATCACTGTCACCATAAATATGAGCGAATATTTCATTATTTCATATTCTTTGGCAATTCTTTAAATCGACAAAATTTTATCAAATGAATTGAAATTTTGTTTATATATAATCAACTGACAGGTGCTCTCATCCTATAAATGTATTTGTCATTTACAAAATAAATTACTATTTTTAATGTAATTATAAAATAATACTATATTCAATTATTTAATGATTTCGGTTTTAGCAATAAAATATTAATTTTAAATAAGGAGTTCCTGTTTATTCTAAAATAGATCAGGATCATTCTTTATTTCCTGTATGAATGTAATTCGTAAGTAATTCAATGAGAGCCCACTCTTTATTCATAATATCATATTATACTATAGGATGTTATTTATTTTAATTAATTACATGTACAATTCAAATTCTTTATAAATAACTTAACAGATCCTATAATACTTATATTTTATAATAAAATAATAGCCCGTATAACTTTTAGCACTTAACATTGTGACCATTTTATTGATGTTCATATTTGGAAAGTTCATAATTAATCGAGTATCTATTATATAAGTTATATAACTTGTGAATAAAAAAGTCTACAATAAAATTACCAATAAGTAAATTCTTTGAATATGCTTATTTTTATAAATTTATGAAAACATTATCTATTGATTCTAAATAATGAACACATTTTACAATGAATTCTAAGACTAGTCTATGTTATAATAAATTTTGAAATAATGTCAATTGTAATTAATATTAATTATGGATAACTAATTATCACTAATAATATATTCTCGTTTATTCGGCATTGGTTGTAAAAATAGTTTATAAATTCAATAAACCAATTGTTTCATTATTAGATAAAGTTTGTAAAAATATAGCTTTAATTGCTCGCGGTTACATTCTTATTCATGCATGTATTTTGTAATTATTTAAAGATTTAAAAAATAATTTTTACGTTTAAATTATAATACGATGAGTGATCTCAAAATCAATATCAAAGACAAAGACATGGATCACTTGTGGAACAACTGTTCTCTCACTCATATATACGAGGCGTCGGTATTCCTGAAGACAACGCTGAATGACGTGCGATACCAATGGGCGCTCCAGTTTGTGGCGGACATCGAGTCAGAGCCGCCCTCACCCCTCAGCGCCTACATCTGTGTTCACATAATTGTAGGACAACTGGAATTCCATCGCAACTACTTATCGGCCGTTCATATAGTGTTTATGTATTACTGGGATGTGGTCCGCAAAGACAATATAATAAACAAAGTATTACTCGATTTGAGTAATAGTTTCCAAATAGAGAACACATTTATCAGAGAAACCATTATTAGAGCCGAAATGTGTTTAAAGCGAATCGAGAAAGAGATGACAACTATAGCCACGACTATCAACACCGCGAATGTCATAGTCTGGAGATATTGGGAGGAATTAAATGAAATAAAACTTTGGTCTAACGATCACAATATAAATAGGGTTTCTCACAATAATTACAATCAAGTCTTAAACATTAATCACATTTTATAACATTTCAAAATAAACAAAGTTTCCAAAAATATTACAATTAATGATAATTTTTAATTAAATCCAATTAAAAACTTTGATACAAAATTCGCACAATTTTAATATTTCTCAGTAATCGTAGACATAATAATACACTTAAATTAAATGATTATAACTATTGATTTATACTGTAATAACTACTATCATATAAATTGACTGAAGTGTGAAAATTGTTCCAATTGTTGGAAAGGTATGGAGTTTTTGGTTACGAGTTATGCCTGATCTTTGAAGGCCTCCTCGATCTCAGNAAAAAAAGTAAAAACTTTTTATATTGTATTATGGTCTACTTGTTATTAGATTCAATTTGTATTCAAAATAAAATACTATATTTATAAATTATAATGTAAACAAGATAGACTCATATGCAATTTAATCGTACAAGTATGTGATTGTTGGTTAGAAATTGGTTTAGTTAATTGTTAATATTTATAAAATGTTGTAAAAATAATTAGCTCAAAATATACCTTATATAAAAATTGATATACTGTATTATGTAAAGGTTTTCATTAATTGAATATGTAAAAACCAATTGTATATTTGATATTTAAGTAATTATAATTAATGAAGGGGAAATATAGGGAATCCACAAGGTTCCCTGTTTTCCAACTCGGGAACCCTTCCCTAATGGTTATTATTTTTTAATGCCCTCTGTTCCTCCCTTCCCCTAGTTATTTCAATAGATGTTTCATAACTTCAAAACTTTTTGATTTATTAAACTATTATTTTAGTTTCCTTCAAAACCTTAAGGATGTCAAACCTCCTCAATATCTGTATTTTACAAATAAATTTTATATTTATTTCCAGATTATGCTTTTAACAAATAAGTTATCACAAAATTGGTGTTAATTTTACAATGAATACAAATATCATATCCTTTCTTTATTAAACAAAATCAAACTTTTGTATAAATATAACAACAAATGAATGATTAAAATAATAGTTCAGAATGTATCTATTTTTAAGTTTTGTACTTTTTAGTTTGAAATGCTTTTCAAGTATAGCCCAAGAGTTTACTTACAATGGTTGGGTTTGTAATTGATTTTTCATATATTTGTGACAAATATTTTCAATTTTTTAGAGCAATACAATTGGAGACAAGAGTTCCCAAGTTGTGGCGGTCGAAGACAATCACCCATTAATATCAATACCAATGAAGTCGTCAAAGATGCATCACTTGAACTAAATCTAATAGATTATAACAAACCATATGCTAATTTAATTGCTAATAATAATGGCCACACTGGTACTTTTAAAATTATTATTATTGTTATATTTATTTTATAAGTAATTTTTGATAAAAAGTTAGAATAACTATGGGTTCGACCAGTAAAAGACCTGAACTAAGTGGTAGTGTTGTTGGACATGGAGTGTATCATTTGGAAGAATTGCATTTCCATTGGGGAGACGATAACTTCGAAGGAACTGAACACTCAATTGATAACTACTTTGGATCGGCAGAGGTATACACAAATATTGTTCAAATCCACATTTAAGTCATTTTATGTATTATTCATTCAAAAGTTACACTTTGTTCACTACAATGCAAAATACGGCAATTTATTAAATGCTCGACAAAATAGCGATGGGATTGTAGTGTTGACTGTAATCTCACAGCTTTCGAGGTCTGAAAACAATGCACTTCAGCCTATAATCGGAGCTTTGAGACACATTTCCAAATATAATACAAGTGCCACAATTGCCAATCAAATTGTTTTCGATAAAATCCTACCATTAAATAAGCAATNATTATATATAAACAAAATTTCAATTCATTTGATAAAATGTTGTCGATTTAAAGAATTGCCAAAGAATATCAAATAATGAAATATTCGCTCATATTTATGGTGTCAGTGATTGTATGGAAAGTATCGGCAAATCTGTCCAAAGAGGCGAAGAAAAGGTGCGAATCATACACTTCTATCTTCGAGAACGACTCAATAGATCTACAATACGCTTATGTGGAGGATATTCATGACGGAAGGGGCTATACATCGGGTAGGGCTGGCTTCACAACTGGAACGGGAGATGCCATACTTGTGGTCAAAAAATATACGGAAATGAAAGCGGACAACCCTTTGGCTAAATTTATTACAGAACTGGAAAGACTGGCCAAAAAGGGAAGTGGAGATGTGAGTCGTTTAGGTGGTTATCCATCCGCTTGGAAAGAGGCGGCAAAGGATCCTAAGTTTAGGGAAGTTCAGGACGAAGTAAATGATGATTTGTATTACAGGTATTATTAGTCTCTTTAAACAATTACTCATTTCATTACAATCATAATATATGTGAACACATGTGATGACAGGCCGGCTATGGTTAGGGCCAAGAAGGCCGGTGTGAAGAGTGCGACCGGAATGTGCGCTCTCTATGACTGTGTTATACAACACGGAGACGGAGACGATGGCGACTCTTTGGGGGCTATTATTAAGAGAACGGAGACCTCAGAGGGCGGACCCGTTAAGGATGACGAGAAGAAATGGCTGAAGACTTTCCTGAAGACAAGGCGTTATGATCTGCAACATCCCTATAATAGGGACACTGAAGAGGAGTGGAAAAATTCAGTCGATAGGGTGGATGCTATGGTGAAGATGATAGACGAGGGCAATATGGAAATGAAAGGACCCATTCATGTTAAGACTCCTAATCATGATCTGACTATTCCTTAATTTTTAATTAAAAATCATATAAATAACTTCTAAACATTTTATTAAATTCAAATATTTTATAATTATTTTATAGCTTTCGTTATAATGAATTCATTACTCTGGTTTATAAATCGCCTACAATATTGGTTTTGTATTACTCTGAATTATGTATTGAATATAGAATAATTACAAAATTACAAAATGAGATATTTCTGTTATAAAATTCTTGATAATTTATTACTTTTATTAATCCAAACAAAAAATAGAAAAACAAAGGCATCATTAAATCATTAAGCTATTTATCAGATAAGATTCAATAATTAAAAGTCTATATCATTATACTCGTTGTCATCAAAATTTGAGTCTTTGTTGCCTTTAGGGACAGACACGCTGACAACCCTTCCGTGTCTCCTCTGGACATCCCTTGTGTTAGAGACTATTCGTCTGAAGTTTGATTTCTTGAATAATCTGCGGAATTGACTTAACTTTTGACAATAAATAAAACAAACATTAGATTTATATTGCCGGTACAGTAGTATAAAAGTTAAGTAATGTAGGAATTACCTGAAAGGGATTCATTCGTATGGGATCGGCGTATATAATAAACTGAACGGATTCACTGCAGGGGGGAGTTGTCAAACTGCCCTTATATGTGAAGAATAATTGCTTATTTAATGGTAGGATTTTATCGAAAACAATTTGATTGGCAATTGTGGCACTTGTATTATATTTGGAAATGTGTCTCAAAGCTCCGATTATAGGCTGAAGTGCATTGTTTTCAGACCTCGAAAGCTGTGAGATTACAGTCAACACTACAATCCCATCGCTATTTTGTCGAGCATTTAATAAATTGCCGTATTTTGCATTGTAGTGAACAAAGTGTAACTTTTGAATGAATAATACATAAAATGACTTAAATGTGGATTTGAACAATATTTGTGTATACCTCTGCCGATCCAAAGTAGTTATCAATTGAGTGTTCAGTTCCTTCGAAGTTATCGTCTCCCCAATGGAAATGCAATTCTTCCAAATGATACACTCCATGTCCAACAACACTACCACTTAGTTCAGGTGTTTTACTGGTCGAACCCATAGTTATTCTAACTTTTTATCAAATATTACTTATAAAATAAATATAACAATAATAATCATTTCAAAACTACCAGTGTGGCCATTATTATTAGCAATTAAATTAGCATATGGTTTGTTATAATCTATTAGATTTAGTTCAAGTGATGCATCTTTTACGACTTCATTGGTATTGATATTAATGGGTGATTGTCTTCGACCGCCACAACTTGGGAACTGTTGTCTCCAATTGTATTGCTCTAATAAATTGAAAATATTTGTCACAAATATATGAAAAATCAATTACAAACCCAACCATCGTAAGTAAACTCTTGGGCTATACTTGAAAAGCATTTCAAACTAAAAAGTACAAAACTTAAAAATAGATACATTCTGAACTATAATTTTAATCATTCATTTGTTGTTATATTTATACAAAAGTTTGATTTTGTTTAATAAAGAAAGGATATGATATTTGTATTCATTATAAAATTAACATCAATTTTGTGATAACTTATTTGTTAAAAGCATAATCTGGAAATAAATATAAAATTTATTTGTAAAATACAGATATTGAGGAGGTTTGACATCCTTATACAAAACTTCCTTTGATTTTATTATCAAATTATTTAGTTTTTCAAAACTTCAATACTTTGTAGATAACTTTATTGATCCCCTTCCCTCCTTGTCTCCCGTAATTTTTTATTATTGGTAATCCCTTCCC